GGATCACCTGAGGTAAATAGTTCGAGACCAGCCTGGCCAACATGGTGATACCTCGTCTCTTCTAAAAATACAAAAATTAGCCGGGTGTGGTGGTGGGCACCTGTAATCCCAGCTACTTGGGAGGCTGAGGCAGGAGAATCACTTGAACCCAGGAGGCAGAGGTTGCAGTGAGCCGAGATCGCACCACTGCACTCCAGCCTGGGCAATGGAGTGAGACTCTGTCTCAAAAAAAAAAAAAAAATACTGGCTTAATAAATAAAGTACAATATTACACACACTTGCACATACACAAATAAATGCATGCACACACAATCCCGCCCCCACCCCAATTCGAAAATAACAAATCCCATTTTTGATTTGGAAGTAACTTTACTCTGAATAGGAGATGTCCACCTCAGGAAGCAGTCACATTGCCCATGTTGCTTTGTTTTTGTAGTTACCACATTACTTGGAAGTTCTTACTTCAGAGCTGTGACATCAAGAAAATCTACCTCTGATCATGCCAGGATTACTGAATGTTAAAATCAGACTTAAATATCACAAAACATTTTTATGTCTGCTCCCCCCTCTCAACCACACACACAAATAAAAATTTTCACACATTCAACTATATACCTTCTTATTCAAGCAGTGTCTTTGCATAAAATGAATGGAAACTCATGAAGCCAATCATCTGAGACTTGGAAATCAGAAAGCTGAGATTATAGGGAGAATTTTTTGGTTCTCTTTTCCATAGTTTGTTTTGTGATGTTATAGATGGTAGAAAACAAAAGGGAGAAGGTGCCAGGAAAATATATGTGTGAACAAGTAAGTTTATGTTTGAGGCATAATTGTAAAAGTATTATTTGTGGTCAGAGATGCTGTTGCTAATTCTATAATTTTCTATGCTATATTTCCCCATGTGAGCAATTTACGTTGTTGTCCTTGGCCCTTTATGCAATCAGTGTAAACGGACTAGCAGAGTTTCTGGCCCTAAACTAAAGCTTATTTATACTTAAATCAGTGATTCCAAACTTTAAATGTGTAACATGATGTTAATTTTGTAACATCAATGGTTTAAAATTTCAAGATATTTATCTTACTTGTATTGAACAGTTCTCTTTAAAGAAATCTTAGAGGGATAAGTGTCTTATCTGTTTTTTAAAAGATCAGCTTGCAATCTTCTGCTTCAACTGTATCTGTAGTAGAATACAGCATTATTTCTAATTTTATTTGGCAATATAAAAATTTAGTATGTCTTTTGGTCTCCATTTATATAACCAGCATCGAAGAACAAGAGTGTTTGCTGGTTATACAGTGTTGAGCATTGCTCTTTTACTTTGAATATTTAGAGGTTATGTGATTTTAATCCAGGGGACAACTTTATACTACTTCACTAGCAGAAACACTACTGTTATTTTTACTGACCTATCAATACCACCAACTTAATAGTAATAAAAGCTAGTATACATAGAGTTTATTATGTATCAGACAACAAAATATGTACAACTTTTATATTTCGAAATAAAAGTAGGTAATACTGTATTCTCTTGTAGACTTGTCTGAGGCAATTTCACACAGATTTTTTAAAACATAAAGACACTATAAAAGAATTGTGGAGTACATATGTTCAAAGCATCTATCAAGAGATGCAGAGATGTTAAGTACCTTCCTAAGATCTAGAGATGAATCTTCCTCTCCTCTTTGTACCACGTTTCTTTTGCTTTCACTATATTTTACAATGTGTGGTATGTAGCCAGTCTAGTGGTCATGCTAGGATTTCAAGCCCAGCAGTCTGGCCCCTGAGTATATGCACTAGGACACATCAAAGCTGTACATTCTTCCAATTCAATTATTTATATTTCCATCCTTCATCACAGAATTTACTAGGAGTACCTTGCTTTAATAATCAACATTACAAAAAAGGCTGGTTTTTTTTGTTTGTTTTTGTTTGTGTTTTTTTTTTTTGCAACTTTTCCACTAAAAAGTTCCTATTAGAGTAACATTTGATAACTTTTTTTTAGAATGTTCTTGAATACATTTGTTCAAAGACCTGAAACTTAAGTTACTACATCAAAAAGTAGTAACTCACTGAACAGTCTTTCCTGGTGCCATCAACACTTGACTTTGTATCACCTGTCAAAAGTGAAACTCTTTCCCCAGTTGTCAGTAGTTTTTCCTATAACATTGTTTCATCCAGACAGTGGTAACAAGAAGTATATCCACATTTGATTAATCTCATCTCATCTCCTTTGCCCCAGGATGTCAGAGGAAATTTTAAACATTGCCAATGATTATGCTATTAAACAGTCAGAAGACACCATTCTTTTACTTGTCAAAAAAAGCTAGTTTAATATGGCTTTATAAATTAAGTCTGTCATAAGTCTTCAAAATTATAAGAACTAAGTCTTCCATTACTCTGCATAGATTATCCCTTGCAATAATTATATTACCAGGCAACTGCATCTAAACTCTGGAAGGAATTAGTGTATAATCCTGTAGGATCTATCAGGAAACTGTTTTGGGATACATCTTGTTGATAATATAACAATGTCCTTCTTAAATTAGGTTTTTCAGCATTTTAAATTTTATATTTAAACTTTAAGTTTTAGGTTAAATTAGTCTTGTAAAGGTTACCATCTGAATGCTGTGTTTATTAGAGGAAACTACTTGTGTTCTTTTGTCACCAATGAATTTTTTGGTCATATTTATTTAATATATATTTAATGTATATCAGTACACAAGCACACCCAAGGTATACAGTTTGCAAAGAATGGATGTTAGATTTTGATCACAAAAGGTGTTTTACAAAGATAAAATTTGTTGAGTTGTAAAATATTTGTTGGAGTTGTAAAATATGATTCCAAAAGACATACTTTACCTTATAAAGTAAGGCAAATGGAAAAAATTCACCATCGAGATGATGATTTTTCTTTAGAAGCAAATAATTCCAAATATGAATGTACTTACATAGGTAATAACTTTTGTTGTCATAAGCTCATCTACATTAATCCAACATCTAGGACTTTAACCACTTTTTATATTCAGCTGATTCTAAATGAATTTATTCCTGGCATAGTCCTTTACTCCATATAGGCGCAGCTCTGAACCAATTCCAGGATTCAGTTCAGAACAGTTACATATTTAATGTATTATGTGAAAAGCCTATAGGATTGGGTTCAATATTGACAATATTCCTATTCTAAGAATATTAGACATTATTTCTATAATTTCTATTCCTTTTGACCTTCTTTTGTGTTTAACAAAGCAGTATTCCTCTTACAATGTTGTGATAAATTCAGATTTTTATAAGACTTGTTCTTTCTTCCTCCCAATTTGAAAATTATTTCTTGAAAACTATTATTTTTCATAGCTATTTGCCTCTAGAAGCAATTGTTCATAATCAAGGCATATTTTCCTTTGTAAAAATTCACAACTGTGAAGACAAAGTTTCCCAGTGAGTTAATAAATGGGCATTTGTCAGAATTCTCTGGGGTCAAAGAAAGACTGAGTTTTTTGTTCTTAGTGCTAATAGAACCAAATCACCTGCATTTCAGTATTTAACATGTTGGAAAGCCAAACCAACTTATCTTCTTTTTTTGTACTGAGTAATTTGAAAGTGAAAGCTTTTTGAAGCATGCATTCAAAGTAAAACGCATCAGCATCATTTCCTAAATCGTGTAACTTTACTCAGTCTGTTGAACTGGCAAATGTCAGGCCGTTTGCTATGCCCACCAATTTCTTTGTGTTAACTCCCCTTTATTGCTATTCTTTCCTTATTAATCATCCTATTCATAAAAATCCCATGATTGGGGAAAATGAACCCGTTAGGGAAACTCACTGCTATCAGTCTAATCCAAGCCTCTATCAATAACTTTCTTACTGGTATACCTGATTCTACCTTGCCTAGCTAACTATTATGTGTACCATGAAGATACTGAAGCCAACCTGCCTAGGTTTAAATCCAACTCTGCAATAGTTGTATTGCCAGTTCCTTAAAAAAAATGGTATAAGAGCTTTGAAATGCTAAATAAGGTCGTCATGCACATGTCAACTAGAGCAGCCCTTGTAAAGTGTCAGACGCTAATTCTTTGGTTGACCTCCTCTAAATAACTGCACACTTAAAAAATAAATAAAATCCGAACTCCTTACTAAGGCCTGTAAGTGTGCTTCTCATTTTATTCCCCATGTTTCAGTTACACTGTACTTGTCTCCAGAGATACTAAGCAGTTCTACTTCAAGACTTTTGCACTTCCAATTCCTTCTTCCTGGAACATCTTTTCCCAGATTTTTGCATTGCTCACTTCCTCAGGTAGCTGCTCAAATGTTCAGTCCTTCTTCGTCCCAAATAGCACACCCCCAGCACACATATCCTCAAGTCAATAGTCTCCTGCCTCATTTTCTTTTTCTTTTTTTGCTATAAAGCACTCATTGCCACTGACTTTATAATAGTTTAGTGCCTCTCTCTCCAAACTGAAAACAAGCTCCTGAGCACAAGGATTTTATTTTGGTCATTCCTGTAGTCTCAGCACCTAAAACACCACTTGGCATTGGTAGTTCTTGGTAAATATTTGCTGAATAGATGCTGTATTTAAAACGGTTTTTTTTCCCCCTAAGGACTTTTGAGAGTCTTAACTTAATATGCTTGTTTGTTTTTCATAGTATGCACCTAACATTTCCTACTCCCATACTTTCACTTGATCCGGATCCTCTCATTAGGTCACCACTCAAGAAATACCAACTTTGGGCTTTTAGAAACAAAGAGTAGGTTCTTGTTTGCAAAGGGTAAACAAGCACAACAAAAAATGTTGATACTGTTTTCAAAGGAAGTTTTAAATACTATTAGTGAATTAAATTCTAGACAAAACAGCCATATTTTTCAAACATTGTTTTTAATATATCTACCTATAAAGATCTGTGGAGAGTTCACATCAGATCATGAATGGGTAGTACTTTATGATTAGGGCATATATACACACACTCAGAGAGTTACAATTAAGCTTTTCTTTTTTCTCTTACAGGTTAATGACTCCAGAGAGTAAGATCCGATTCGTCCACAAAGAGATGGGCATAATACCAAGCTGGGGTGGCACCACCCGGCTAGTTGAAATAATCGGAAGTAGACAAGCTCTCAAAGTGCTGAGTGGGGCCCTTAAACTGGATTCAAAATATGCTCTACACATAGGAATGGTTGAAGAGGTTTTGCAGTCTTCAGATGAAACTAAATCTCTAGAAGAGGCACAAGAATGGCTAAAGCAATTCATCCAAGGGCCACCGGAAGTAATCAGAGCTTTGAAAAAATCTGTTTGTTCAGGCAGAGAGCTATATTTGGAGGAAGCATTACAGAATGAAAGAGATCTTTTAGGAACAGTTTGGGGTGGGCCTGCAAATTTAGAGGCTATTGCTAAGAAAGGAAAATTTAATAAATAATTGGTTTTTCGTGTGGATGTACTCCAAGTAAAGCTCCAGTGACTAATATGTATAAATGTTAAATGATGTTAAATATGAACATCAGCATTACTTTGAAGGCTACTATTAATATGCAGACTTGTTTTTAATCATCTTTTGAATATCTGAACTCATTTACCTCATTTCTTGCCATTGGGTATTTACTGCATAATCTGGAACATTTAGCTAAAATATACACTTTTGGCTTAAAAATTATTGCTCTCAATTCCAATAATAATTCTTAGCTTATAAGCAAAGAGCAGTGTTTAAAAGGAGAGCTTCTATACAAAACCTATTCCTGGTGTTACTTTTCGTAAAATTTTGTCTTACCTGGAAATAATTTACCAAAATAATGAGTATTGCTATTAAAGAGCAAAAGTGGGGAGGGATCAGGGAACAAGAAAACAAAAAGGATATGATCAATTATTTTCTTCTGCTCCAAACAGCCGGAGTAAAATTCATGGGAAATGGCCCTTAATTTAAAAAAAGATGTACCTCACTACCCACTACAAATTTGGAACTTTATTTGATCTTTTCAATAATTAGTTTTCTATTATAAATTATCTACTAAACAGTGGTAGCCATGACATGGAAAGTCAACTGATTTTACAAATTGAACATTCATTTGTGTGCCCTGGAATTTCCAACTAGTAATAAACAACTACTGTTGATGTAGTTTTAAAATTAAAACCACTCGAAGGGACTCATGAAGCATCTTGCAACATAAATTTGCATTTTTACATCAGATTTTTTTTTCCTGAAAAACAACCTTTTATAACTGTCTTTCAAAAGTAAACGTAAAAATGCACAACATAAAATGTTTATGATCATCCCAGAAATACACTTTTTAAAAAATGTGAAAGTCCAAGAATTAAGTTCTAGTTCTGACTCATCACAAGAGGTCAAAAGTATTTGCTACTGTAACATTCAATTCACATTTGAGAATCATGGTAAAAATAACTTGCATTTGCCTTATACATGATCCTACTGTTGAGTTCGGAAAATATGGTTAGACAGACTTACGTTACTTTTTTTCAGAGGTAAATTCTAGATTACTGTGTCAACCTAATATTTTCTATTTGGCCATAGATGTAAAATCTACCAAATAAAAGTGGATTTTGTGGTCTACAACATTTTGTTTAAAGTGAATTCATGTCTGCTAACACTGTAAGTCTGCCATTTAATCCAGAGTGTTAGACTACTAATGAATATGGTAAGGAAAATATAAAATATTAATGGTATCTGCTTTAATTTTATTTCCATATATATTTATTATATACACACTGCCTATAGGTTCTGTTTAAATAATAATCTGTTAAATAATCTCTTAAGAAAAAAAATCAGACTTTTCTGGGCAGGTGATTTAAAGCTGAAAACCAATTAAAACTACCACTTTTTAAGTGACCTTTGGTCACAAATGTCAAAATGTTTCCACACCCTTTCCACACTCAAACAAGAGACAAATTGTTTTTGATAAACTCTAGTATTTATTAAATTATAAATTTTGTAATCAAAAAGAAAAATGCTGACCAGAAAAACCTCAAACTATAAGACTAGACAGCAAAGCCTATGGGAACGCCATGAAGTGTGTTACAAACATTCTGAAACATAAGTTACTGGCTGTTTTCATTTCCGTATCAATAACTTTACTATAAAATAGTAGTTATTCATCTATTTTGAAATCCCAAATTCACATCTATTCTTACATTAAATTATGCTTCCTGCTCATAATATCAAACATCTCACAGGTGCCAAATTTTAGTAATGGTCTTATGCCAATCCATGCAGAAAAATAAGACACAATGCAGGAGTCAGATGAGGACCATTAATGCACAGATAATACAAACACACTGGCCAAAAGAACTACAGAAGTTTTTAAAAACTATAAAGTAAACAGACCTCGAGAAAACTGGGTTATTACTAAACAGCTCTCAACTATTAACACCCAAGTTCCTTACATTAAATAAATTTCTCAACAGAGACATGTTAGACATTTTGATTACGGGTCTATCCTTCCCATACCCCTTCCCACCCCAACTCCCAAAATGCACTACTAGGGATGAGTATAATGTTATGTGGGCAGAAATTTACAGGTAACCTTTTCAACCTTGAGCATGGAGCTGAAGACATTTTTATTTAAACTTCAGTTACTGTGCACTGTCCATCAGGCCTTCTAGATCTGACACTGACACTCACTGTTCCACCCCCTGCTACTGATCGATCAGTTCCCGATTGATCTGATCGATCGGATACTGTCTGGTTTGCATTAGAAACCAAAAGTCTCTGTTGGGTCAAGGAGTGCTGTGCAACAACTGCAGATGATACATTCTCACTATCACTACTGGCATCTGATTCAGTTTCTTCAATGGAGGTGTCTGGTGCTGGTACCCTGCCTGAAGATGGTGATTCATGATCTTCTTCTCCTTCTCCCCTATGACTCCTTTCAGCTATGCTGTCTCCACTGAGTTGTAAATGAGCAAAAGAGTCTTCCAGAGAAGTGCTTGCATCAGGGGATGGTGTTGCAGGGCTTGTTAACTGACCATCTACTGACGTTAGGGGCCTTACAGAAGACACTAGGGGCTGAACAGAAGCTCCACTCTGTGCTGATACACTGTCCGCTCCATCAGCAGAGCTCTCTCTTGCTAGGTTTACGGTATTAGCATCACAGTCTAGCCTAAGTCCAGCTACTCCCTTCTTTGGTATATCTATTATATCTCGCTTAATCTTCCTGCGACGTCCATGTTCATTTCTCCTATATTGAACCATGTTTTCAAGATCAGCGACATACAGAAAGCCAGCAATTAACATTTCAGTGTTCTTTTTACCTTTGGAAAAAGCATCTTCCAGCTCTCTACTAGTGCGCTCATCGTACTGCCACCACCCATTTCTTCCTTCATAATACCATGCATATTCACCATTTCCTCTACTTGCTGCCTTGAGTTCTTCTGGTGACAACAAGGTTGGCTTGTCAAGGAAATCCTCGGGAATTTCTTGTCGACAAAGAGCACACCGCTTTCCAAGCCATGAAGCTCCTTTTACACATAGATAGCAGAAAACGTGCTTACAGGGCAGACTGACTGGATGAACACATGTTTGCAGACAAATGGCACATTCAGGGACGGTTAAAGAAGGTGCAGTATTAGAACAGGACTCGTTTGCTTTCCTGTTTGTAGGAAGCATGTTTATTGAATGATCAATTTCACCACAGCCAGCCATCCTAAGAAAAAATACATAAAATATTAAAGTCATGTTTTAATTCTTGCAATATCTTAATTCAACAATTATGAAAATACTAACCACCTATTATGTGCATTATATGCAAGCCACATTCTAGACAATGGGGATATGAAGATGAAAGTAGAAGAAAAACTCTCCAACCAATGAAAACGTTTTATAAGCATTTACTTGTACATACTTTGGGAATGTATAAAAATTCCATCAGTGCACTTACAGATCGGCCCTGGAGAAACACACTGAAGAACTATATAATGAAAAGCTGCATCCAGTGGAGGGAAAAAGGATCATGGCAGCTATTATACAGTGAAATGAACGCTAGACAAGAAATCTAAAAATCTGAGTTTTAGAGTTCTTTATTAACTATGTGCTCTTAGGCATGCAGTTCAACCCTTAGTCTAAATTTCCTTACCTGCAAATCAGAGTTTACAAAGCTCAGGTAAAAATGAACAAAAAAAGTGCTTTGTAATCACTAAAGCTTCATAAAGGTAACAATCACATAAGACCAAGGGAGAAAATAACATGAATATTGAAGATGCCCTGAAGAGGAGGAAGAAAAAAGATTTGTCAAATTGGATGTATCCAGCTTAAACACTGACATAAAATTTATAATTTCTGCCTTGCTGATTCAGATAAACGTTTACCAAACACCTACCATGGTCTAGATACTAAGTACTGATGGGTCTAATGATAAATAAGACACTCAAGTACTCTGTTAAATAAGGAAACAAATATGCAGATAATTACAATATGGCCTGATTCCTGCATAATCAGAATGTATTAACATACTTACAAAAATAACAATGAGAGAGACAGAGATGAGAGGATGGACATAGGTTAGAAAGTTTAGTGTTCATTCAGAGGGGCCTGGGCAGTGGAGCAGATTCCAGGCAGAGGCATGTGCAAGACACTGAGTCAAATAGTCATACAAGCAATGGAAGAGCAGGAGATGAAGGTGTAAAGATAATCAAAAGCCAAGTCATGAAAGCCTTATTGTGCCCTGCTAAGGAAACATTTAATTTTTTTTTCCCCATAGTTTAAAAAAAAAAAAAAATTAAAAGGGGAGAAAATAATAGAGGGAGGAAACCACTGATAAGTAAAAAAGACTGAGAAATGAAGATGAAGATGTCAGAGATTAAAGCTTAAAATGCATGACAATCTTTGTGCCAGCTAATTCTGCCATTCTAAATGGGTCCAGTAGTTACAAAAGATATAGTCACTAACAATGCTTACGCTCATCAAAAATTGAAAAACAATAATCCTAGGCTATCATCACAGCACATCCAATCTTAAAACAATCCTTTTTTTTTTTTTCTTTTTACAGCCTTTTCTGTGTTCTTGGTTCCTCAATAGACAAGGCTCAAAAAGATGGCAATTTTCTAGTAAAGGAAGCAACACATTAAGTTTTTAAAAAGATGGCACATATTTAGTAAAGGAAGCAACACAGTTTCAGTGGAAGAACTGATCACTAAAATGCTTAATTTCCAAATTATTTTCAACTTTTAATAACATTTCCAATCAATTCCTTTACCAAAAATTCTAGGTTATAGACATCAAGAAAGTACAACTTTTTCCTAACCTATGGAAAGTTCTAAGTCAGGGGTGTCTAATCTTTTGGTTTCCCTGGGCCACACTGGAAGAAAACGAATTGTCTTGGGCCACACATAAAATGCATTAACACTAATGATAGCTGATAAGCTAAAAAAAAAAAAAAAAAAAAATCACATAATGTTTTAAGAAAGCTTATGAATTTGTGTTGGGCTGCATTCAAAGCCACCCTGGGCCGCATGTCGCCCACAGGTTGGATAAGCTTGTTCTAAATAAACCCTAATAGGACGTCTTAGTATGTTAAGCACTATAAAAGCTTTCACATATTTTGAGATAAACACTTGCCTTCAAAGATCTTGTAACTTGAAACAACAATAAGTTACAAACTAAGGCATATGTTTTTTAAATAGCCAATTAACATTCCCTGCCTATTTCCTCCCCTAAAAGAATTGGCTGTGCACACATTTTGTTAGGTTTTCAGAAACTTTCATCCCTTTCAATTTAGGTCAAAAAAGTAAGTTTCCATAAAATTCCTGAAATTCTTTTTGTTCCAAGTTCCATATTTATTTAAAGCTCCAGTTAAGAAAAAGAACAAGAAAGCAATCCATTTACAAGTAATAATTTAATAGAGTCTACTCATAATTCTATTCATAAGACTAAATAGAAAAATGGGCTGATGATCATCATTACTTTGGAAAAACAACAGCAACATCTTTACATAAGAAGTCTATATCTTAAACCATCTAAGTACCTTAAGAACAAAGGACAGGCTCATAAATTTAAAACATAAATAAAAATAAAGTCTGGTAAAATGTAAACAAGATACCCAACATGTCACATGGACCAATGCCATGCTTTTAAATACGTAATTCCAAACCTATTGTATTTGTTTTAAGTAAAACTGGTCCAAGAAGTCAGTTTTCCATCACATACAGCTCGTTTATCTACAGAAAAAAAAGTTTTCAACCTAAAAATATTATCCTCCACCCTACTTAATATGATCAATATTTTGCATGACTCTTACTCTTGCATGTATGAATAAACCAAAACACGTAATTTCAAAACTAAGCAATTACAATCATCCCAGGAGAAGGCATGAATTGTAACAACAACACAATTGGAAAGGCAAAACAATTCGGTTTGTGCAGGTATTTTGGTTCTGTCATTAGAATGAAGTAAAGTTGGACAAAGTTAATCTGAAAACAATGGACACCAGACAGCTAAGTGGTCATTATTTCATCTGAAGCACTCTTAACTATCAATTTGCCATAGCAATTTATAAATTCTGATTCTGTTTAGACCATCAAGTATCCTGTTAGTCTATCACCAACAAATGGGTAGAAAAACTCAGTAATATTTCTTCTTTAATTCTGAATGAGGCACATGCAATAAGATACACATAAAATGTGTAACAAGATAGACACAAAGTAACCCCAAACTGCTAGTCTATCTGTAAGACATACTTCAAGGCTTTTTAAAAAACCATTTTAATCTACCCTACACAGGCTCTATTTTGCATACTTTCAATGATCTTAAAATAGGTAGGAGACTAAATGTATGCAGATGATCATACCAATATGTAAATAAGAAATGCTTTTCCCCTCCCTTTGTGTAAAGCAAGTATTAATGCTAAGCAAAAGAGGTATTCCCTATCTCATAAGTGTCTCATAAAATTCTAATTTTGAATCATTTTGAAAAAGGGAATTTATTTCCAGTTTACTAAACTAAAAATTTAACACATAGAAATTTGGAGTGTAGTCCAATTCTATTAATAAGTATAATACATCACTTATTTTCAAAGACGTTTTCACTGAATTCTTCATGTGATATTCCAACTTTTAAGTATAAATCACCTTCTTCCAATAGATAAACCATGTGAAATATTTCTGTAAGACTATTAAGAGTTTATTAATACTAAGTCGTCTTCTTAAGAAGACAAAATATAGAGGGGTATGGGCAGAGTTAGTGGAAATCTCCAAGAACTCAGATTTCCTTGAAACTTCTTGGATAATTAGTCAAATGGAAGGCAAAATTATTATAAGCAAAAAAGGTCTTTAGTATATGTAGTATTCAAGAAATTTTTAGCCAGCAATAAAAATTCCAAATATTAAAAATCAGATTTTTAAAGTCTGAATTCAGAATCCAATTACAGACACAAAAAAGGGAACAATCCTACACATAATTTCAAGGGGCTCAAGGATTTCTATGAAGCTGGTCCACATATGAACCACTAATGAGACAAGAGGAGTTCACTGAAAGGTTTTTCATCAGGTAATAACAGCCAGTTTAGTAGCTTCCAGACCATTTGAACAGCAGGTTGGAGGAAAGTATGGTAATGCAGGAGGAGGTAGGTGAAAGGGAAACTAGAATATCCAGGTAGTAATGCAAGTATAAGATAATTAGAGGCAGGGTTCCAATAATATAAGAATGCTAAGGAAAAAGAAATGAAAGCATTTGGTTACTGATGGGTGGTGACACATTCACCAAAATTCAGAATTTGAGGAGAGTTCTGTCTCAGACATAATGACTTTATTAAGGTCTCCAGGTGGAGATAGATAGATGACAGCTGAATTTACTCGTTTGGTACTCCAAGGATAAATCTAAGCTGAAAAAAGTCTGGTGACTCACCAACACATACATGGTCCTTGGAGCCATGAAAATGAGTAAATGCCCAAATTAAACCTGTAGAGAGAGCAGTCAAAAGGGCCAGCCACAGAATCTTGAATTACTCCAATATTTGTCTGGTAAAATAGCCAGGAAGGGGTGTAAGGAACGGTCAGAGAAGAACAGGGAATAAAGATAGACCACCACCACAAAAGCCAACAAGGGAGACATTCGCAATAAAGAATAATCAAGCAAGTTACTCTAAGTGACAAAAATTTCACCATACAATTCACTTTTGTGTGGTGCAAAAGTTGTGAACCCCACACACTTAGTAGCTATTTTGATTTCCTAAACACCATCAATCCCAGTAACCTTTTACTCGGCCAAGACATCTTTCTTTCCCTATTCCCCAAAGACTATCATAAAACTTCTCCCTCCTAGTTTATCAATATACTAACACCTCTATCACTGAGAAATTAGGTAAGTCAAAAATAAATCCTGAAAATCTATCTTTACCTTTACTCTGTCTTATCATTATTCCTCCTGGCTCAATATGGGGTACTGCTACTTGTTTACAAAGCTAACCACTCAACATCTAGTTAGTACTGTCACCTAACTCCTCCAAGACTGATCAATATACTCTGTCCCTAAGTATAAAAATCAATTAATATTGATTTTATGTTAAATAAATGTAAAATCTGGTAATATAGTAAGTACTAAATAAATGTTCATTCCCGGCACTTATTTTGAATTCTCTTTCTCCTACCCTGCCTTCCCACATATTACTGTTACCTGACTCCTCTAAAATGTGTTGATGATTAGGCAGTTGTTTCCCTCCTCATTCCCTTGGCTTGAAAAATGTTTCTTAATTTTCTTTGACTGTTAAAATTCTACTCATTCTTTAGAGGCAAAGTGAAACTTACTCTGTTCACTCTGAACCGTTCAGATAAAATTAATCTCTCCCTCTGTTCAGTTTCAATAGCATCTTATTGTTACCTTAATATGGCATCTATTCCACTGTTTGTTAATTACATACATGTCTCATTTACTAGATCACAGTAAGCTCCTTGATGACCAGCACCTAGACTATCTGACCTATTAAGATATTTAAAAATGTATATAGATAGATAAATGGACAGGATTAAATAAAAGATGTATTTTTAAAGACAAATGTTTATTAGTATCATTTTTCAATTATCAAATTTTCAATACTGAATAAAAATATGGTCGTACTTTTAAGTAATAAATTAATTATTGTTAATACATATCATTACATGTAACCAGTATCATACTGGAAGAGTAGATAGCAAGTTTTATGTCAAACTGGGAAAATGTGAAATAGGATCTACTAAGGTCTCTCTTGGTCTAATAAGAAAAATGCTATAATTAAAAGTCAATAAAATATTCACTACATTTTTCATGAGTGATATCAAGTTGCATATGGTTTATATTACTTTAGAAAACAAATATATTCATAGTGCAAAAATGTTTCATCAGTAATAGGGTGAAGTTAAATATGGACAAATCCAAGGTAGTATGTAACACTTTAAAGCATTTCATGCAAAGATAAATGATGAAAGCACAGCTAGTAAAACTGGGGATCAGAGTGAAGTGATATGAATAAAAAGCAATGAGGTACTACATTAAAAAAATCAATTATGTAGAAATTCCTTTAATTTAGTGAAACAAGTTTTTAGTAACTAGAGTTTTTATAACCCAGTAGTTTGTCTTATTTATAAAAGCTAGTACTACTTGCCTAGCTTAGTTATTTAAGAAAATTATTATGTAAAAAGAAGGTAGAACCCAGAGGACCTGGAGATCTCTTCAGTATTTTAGCCTTCTATGAGCAAACTCCTGTGTCTTCAGTTTTTCTTAGAGATTTTTCCCTCTGAGGAGACTTGGAAATCTACATTAACGATAATTTAATGTAAATAAATTGTTAATAAAGCACCTATAAGTCAACAGAAAATGCTCATTTTATATAATTAAAACTAAATATGACAGATACTCAATTTACTGTGCTTTAAACCAATCCACTTAATTTACTGCAGCACTGAAAAAACATGATGCTACACTTACATTACTATTACAGATCCCACAGATGCCTGCCATAAAAATAAAGCATTTTCTTCATCAGCAGTCAGCCAGCTTGCAGTATTTTCTCTTCCACTGCTGGTTCATTCTTTATGCTGCAAAAGAAAAAAGAGTAATTAAAATCAAGAGAATCAATTAATTATTTATAATCCTTTCACAAAATTCAGTGGAAAACTTTATCTTAAAAGTGGAAAAAATTAAAGACAAGATGCATGCTTTTACCACTGCTATTCAACATGACTGTAAGTTCTAGCAGAGCAAATTAGGGAAAAGAGATAAAGGTATACAGATGCATAAGGAGGAAGTAAAAGTATATTTATTCTCTCTATATAGAAGATCGCATAGAATCCCCAAGAAAGCTAATAAACAAATTCAGCAAAGTTGCAGGTTACAAGTTTGACACACATAAAAACCAGTTGCATTTTGATACACCAGCAGACAACAATCCAAAAAAGAAATCAAGAAAGCAATTCATTCATAATAGCATCTAAGGGAATAAAATAGCCAGGAATCAACCCAGGAGGTGAAAGACTTGTACACAGAAAACTATAAAGCATTACTGAAAGAAATTAAAGAAGAGCTAAGTAAATAGACAAGTGATGTATGGATTGGAAGACTTAACATATTAAAATGACAATACTACCCGAAGTGATTTACAGACTCAACACAATTCCTATGACAATTCCACTGACCTTTTTTTGCAGAAATGGAAAAGCAATCCTCAAATTCATATGGAATTGCAAAGGACCCTAAGTAACCCAAACAATCTTGAAAAATCCAATGTCAAAACTTACTACAAAGCTAAGGCAACAAGACAGTTTGGTGCTGGCATAGGATAGATATAAATATACCAATGACATAGAATTGAGAGCACAGAAATAAACTCATACATCAATAGTCAACTGATTTTTCCAAAAGGGTATCAAGTCTACTCCATGGGGGAAAGAGGAGCCTCTAACTAATGTTGGGACAACTGGATTTCCACATGCAAAATAATTAAGCTGGACCTCTACCTTACACTATATATAAAAGTTAACTCAAAATGAACCAATAACCTAAATATGAGAAATAAAACCATAAAACTCTTAGAAGAAAACACAGGGGCAAATCTTCATGGCCTTAGATTTGCAATGGATTCCTAGTTATGACATCAAAAGCATGAGAAACATAGGAAATAAATTGGGCTTTACGTAAGTTTAAAATTTTTGTGCATCAAAAGACACTGTTAAGAAAATAAAAAAACTGCAGAATGGGAGAATATTTTGGCAAATCATGTATCTGATAAACATTTAGTATCCAGAACATGTAAAGAACTATACAGCTCAACAACAAAGACAAACCAATTAAAAAGTGAGCAAAAAATGAGCAAAGAACTTAAAGAAGATATACAAACGAGCAATAAACACACAAAAAGATCCTTAACATTATTAGCAATTAGGGAAATGTAAATCAAAATCACAATGATACATCTATAAGGATGCTACAACTTTTTTAAGGGGAAAATAATAGTGTTGGTAAGGATGTAGAAAAATAGGACCTTTGAACACTGCTGGTAGGAAGGTAAAAGGGTGTAGCTGCTGTGAATAATAATTTGTTGCTTCCTCAAAAAGCTAAACGTAATTACCAATATAACCCAGCAATTCCACTCCCAGGGATATAGCAATAGAATTGAAAACAGGTTCTCAGATACTTGTATGCCAATGTTCACTGCAGAAATATTAGGCAAAAGGTGGACACAATTCAAGTATCTGTCCACAGATGAATGGATAAACAAAATGTGGTCTACAAATACAACAGTACATTATTCAGTAATAAAAAGAAATATGTGCTACAACATAGATGAACCTTGAAAACATACTAATAAGCCAGATACAGGAAAGATTGTATGATTCTACTTATATGAAATATCAAGAATAGGCAAATTCATAGAAGCAGAAGGTATCAGAGGTTACCAGAGACTGAGGGAAGGAAAGTGAGGAGTTATTTGCCTAATGGGTACAGAGTTTCTGTTTGTAATGCTAAAAAAAAAAAAAAAAAAAGTTGTGGAAAATCTATAATGGTGATGGTTGCACAACACTGTAAGTGAAATTAACTACATGGAATTGTACTCTTAAAAAAATTGTACCATCTCAGTCATTAACCTTCTTTCTTCTCATTTAGTATTTCCTTCTTCACTTCACCATGTCCACTACAGGACACACATCACATTACACAGAATAATCAAGAACACATGATAACGAAAGAAACGACAGATCTCACAGTAAACACAAAATAGAAGAGACTTGAATATTCTTTTAGTTCCATGTGGCTCTCATACTATGGGCATCTATCTCCCTAAGGTATCTCAAAATTCTAGTGTTTAAAGAAACATATTCTTAAGGCCGTATGTAACCTCTAAATACAAGCTGACTTATCCTACCAAATGTTTAACAGAACAAACAATTTGTTTTAAAATCAGAGAACTTTCAAGTGACTGTGATGGTTAACACTGAGTGTTAACTTGATTGGATTGATGGATACAAAGTATTGATCCTGGGTGTGTCTGTGAGGGTGTTGCCAAAAGAGATTAACATTTGAGTCAGTGGGCTGGGAAAGGCAGACTCACCCTTAATCTGGTGGGCACAATCTAATCAGCTGCCAGTGAATATAAAGCAGGCAGAAAAACGTGAAAAAGAGAGATGGGCCTAGCCTCCCAGCCTACATCTTTCTCCCATACGGGATGCTTCCTGCTTCGAACATCTGACTCCAAGTTCTTCAGTTTTGGGACTCGGACTGGCTCTCCTTGCAGACAGCCTGTTGTGGGACTTGGTGATTGTGTAAGTTAATACTTAATAAACTCATATATCTATATTCTATTAGTTCTGTCCCTCTAGAGAACCCTGCCTAATATACTGACTAAACAGGGTTTCTAAGAAACCTGGCTTTTTGTTTTACTCTGACTTTAGATGATATGGACTCCACTGTTTTGACTTTCCTCTCAACCCTTTCACCACCTTCAAGGAGCCCACAACTTCAATGGCATCAAAGAAGGCTATGTTCGTTTCCTTGCTGCAGCCTACTCCAAACAGAAACTGCACATTTTCATACACTCCCTATATATAGGACAGGAGGAGACAATTTACTGCTCCAACATCATTACTTCTTTCAAGTCTCTATCACACTGACTTTAACATACCCTATAATCCCCTAAAACTGCTCTCTCACCACCTATAAGGGATTAATGTCATCTTTTCACTACTGATCATCCTCTTCATCCTAACTGCTGATATAACTATGAGCCTATTTAAATAGCCTTGAAAATGAACCATCCAACACCTATTGCACAGGTTCTGAAACTTGTCCCAACTTCAGTGATCAGAATCACTGAAACTGCTTGTTAGAAATACAGATTCTCAGCCCCTTTCCTTAGGAATTCTAGGCCAGTAGAACATAGGTTTAAACCTAGGAATCTCACCCCAGGTGGTACTCATGCATTAGTCCTTCAAATGCAATCTGAGAAACACTGTCCTCAATTTTCAGTTCCTTAAATCCTAAATTCGAAGAAATTAATCTCCTCTCCGGCAACCAAATGTTATGATCACATTTGAAACTAGTTGTCACCTAAACTGCTGCCTCTCTGAAATCTTAATCCGACTCTCAGATCACAAGCTCTGGTTCTTCCAGCCCACTCATTCCCACACCTGCTCTTCAATTTCATGGGGACCTACAATCTCTTGACCATCTCATTTCCTTTCCTGCCCATTCTGGAACCCAATCTTTTTTACTTCTTACTTAACAGAACCCTTGGCTCCCTCCTATCTTTATCTCTCATATACACACATTTTACAAACCCCCATTTCTGCATAATTCTTACAATATGACATCTCAGGTTTCATGCCTTAACTACTTTTGTGTTCATGGAGAAAAAGACAAAGTCCTTTCTCTCACCACACAGCCTCCTGCTCCCCCACCCCAACCAACCACAACATAAATTCTGTCAACTTTTATTCCTAATCCCTTTGGAATCTATCCTCTCTACCCATTGCTAATGCTCTAGTTTAAACCTACATCATCTCTCACCTGAACTATTGTACAGCCTGATTATCTTGTGTCACTATCACCCTCAAATTCATTTACTAAGCCTTTGAGATTCTCTCTCTCTCTCTCTCTCTCTCTCACACACACACACACACACACACACACACACACACACACACACTCACTCACTCTACAGTCTGTTTCCCAAGCTGGAATGCTGTGGCATGATCATAGCTCACTACAACCTCAAACTGCTTGGCTCAAGTGATCCTCCCATCTCAGCCTCCCAAGTAGCTAGGACTGAATGATAAAAGGCAAAATGAACCAGGTTTCTTCCATATGTGAAGCACAATATTGGCTCCTCAGCCTACACAATAAAGACAAAGCTCCTTAGGACAACATTAAAAGGTTTTAAAGATATAAACTGTAAATAACTAGTCTCTAGTCTTTTTTATCTTCAACAACCACCCATAGATTAATAATCTAGTTGTATCAAATTACTCATAGTCCTGCAAACCTCCCTTTGTAGCTCTGTATTTCCTCCTGCCTGGTACAATCTATTCCCTTTTACAGCTTATGAATGCCTATTTGTTCTTTAATATATTACACAGAAATGGTTATCCCTACCATTTTCTCTGACTACCTCCAGAAAGTTAATTGTTCTCTCTATATATTTTGTATGTTTTTTTATTACTGAATTTATCACATGCACTAATTTCATTCATTTGTGAAGTCTGACTCTTCTGTGAAATCATGAACCCCCTGAAGATAGGGACCTTTTTATATCTCTAAGTAGCTAGTAAAGTGTCAATCAATTTTTGTTGAACTGATATTTTTTGGATGAATAAAAAATCAACTCCTAAAAGTAACTATTGTGAGGAACAGAATATCAAAGGATTCGATTTATTCAAATAACACTTGAGTTCTAATCGTGAACAAGGCACCCAGCTGGAATCTGTAAGATACATAAAAATATCTAAGTTTTAATCCTTTCTTTATATAACTTAAAATCTAAAGGAGTTCCTACATTTACAAATATAAAATTCAACACATCTTTGTATCTTCTGGCAAGCAAATC